ACAAACATTTGGGCATTTTCCCTAACTAGAAATATTTCTGCTCTGATTTTATCCATCCTGAACATATTTAATTTTCACACACGGGGTTGATTTTAATTTTTGATACCTTCGAGCTATACAAGCTTTGCAATTGCTCGCTTTAAAATCCGAAATATTTTGAAGAGAAACCAGTCTCGCAAGACGCCTGCAGAAGCTGGGACAGTTTCACTTATTTGCCAAATGCACTTACGCCTACACATTCTTCGAGGATCCTCAGAGACCAGATTTCACTTTATTCGACCACTACATAAGCACTCGCAAAATGGTTAAGGGGTTTCCAAAGTGTACATTCATTTACGCGCATAGTGACTGGACGGCTTTTTAGGCCGCATGTGCGATCTTAATATGGAAGTTTAACTGCTCTATGTGTAAGGAGAAGCGAGTCTTTTATATGGTAAAATTCGCAACAGGCGATCTTGCTGGTTTCTAGAGCTTTTTTGCACATAGCCCAACTACATTCCCCCTATTACTATTTTTCTCTAGGTCATTGCTGTAGCAATGTTTGAAGGAAGTGAGCTGAAGAGTCATCCATCCGTACTCTACATCACCACCATTGACGTGCCCAGGCTGGCTTTCCCTGCGGAAAAGAAGGGTAAGCCATCGCTCCAACTGCACATCCACACAAAAATCTACGTAAGAATGCAGACACACATACATGTACGACTCTATATGTGCTCATACTTTTGCGTGTTTGTCCACCTGTGCTCTGCCAATACGAGTATGGGTGTGAGATTATATATATATATATATATATATGCATATTTATACTTGTGCATAAATATACTTATTCAGTCCTATGAGCAAAACACAGGGGAACGTAGAGACGTTCTGAGGTCATGTAAAGGCGAAAACGGGGGAGATCTCTGCCCTCAGACTGCAACGGAACTGAGTGCTTAGAAATTTGCGTCAGAACACAAACGGACGTGTCTGTTTGTTATTTGGTCATCTCTCTTTAGGCTCTTGCATTTTCTCGTAACCGGCTGTTCTTTTCTCTTACCCACCCAACTCTCTTAAAGCAGATTCTGGCTTAATTGACCCTTCCCCAGTTGGCTCAGAAGGGAGTAGAAAGATTCTGTTTTTAGCCACTATTTGCTCGTATAGGATATAAACTCAATCCTTTTTTTATACTGGGATGCATAATATATAGTGGTGGAGAAAGCAACAGAGTAAGTATGAAGGAGAGTAAATAGAACTAGATGATTCCTTAAAGTAGGTTCCATATATATGTGATCAAAGGCACACTGGTTTATACATATATGCTTATGCATTTGGGATGAAGACGCTTATTACGTCACTTTAGAGCTCTGGCAGACATTTTAAATGTGAATGGGGTGACATTGTATCCTTTTTCACAAAAGCGATATCTAAACTACTAATTGTTAGCTAAAGAAGATATGTATTTTTCACTACTTATTTCATAATTAATTCTTACCCAAAATTGCATTAGCATCCAGGGCTGACGACTGATTTGGAAGGTTCTTTATTCCTAATGTACATAGCAAGAGCCGGGTCTTAGGACCTATATTCTGGAGTGATCACGGGAGTTCGGGCTTAGCATCTTCTAGTTATTCTCATAAACAATCCTTCCAATGCCATTTACCTCATACGAGAACTGCCCGAAAAGGATACTTCTTTGGCTTGACTAGTCATGTCTGTTCTCACATTGACTCTTGCTGAAACTGTTTGCAGTGCTAATCTCAAATGTTTTCAGAACTATAGCATTTATCAGCTAATTGACTTTATTGTTTAAATATCATATTTCCCAAAAAAGCTATAACTATTATTGATAGTCAGTTCATATTCTTAGTATTAATGGATTATTAAAGCTTTCTTTCATAGCTTTGAAACTTTAAAAATCTAGGCAAATTGATGTAAATGTAGCCATCATATA